CAGCAGGATTTTTCCTCTCCCAAAGGGGAAAGAAGCAACATAAAAAGAAACTGAGAAAGAACTGACTGAGAAAAACATGTGAAACTCATGCCAAGTACAGACAAAAAAAAAAAAAAGGGACCACAAGTAACACGAAAAAAAGGGCAATAAAGTCAATATGACTACTGAATGCTTTATGCACTATCGCCTGCCAGGTTTTTCTTTTTCCTCCAAACTACGTTATTAGTAGATCCCCATATTTATGCCCAGTTGAACCCCTAGAACAAGAGTAACGCCAAATTCCAAATTTGCTCCCATTAGAAATTTGGGACTTTCGCCATTGAGGTGTCACTTCTTCTAACAATTGTAACCGCGTTAAGGTCACGGACTGGTTGGTAAATGGTAAATTTTTAAGGTCTTTAATCACGTGCAGGTCACCAGATAAGCACATGTGATTAATACGGTTAAAAAATTGACACCTCAATGACAGAATTACAAAACTTGCAACTTATGATAAGCTAGGGCAGGAGTTTTGTGCCATTTTGAGTTCTAGGGAGCAAGCTAAGACAACCCTCATTTTTTGGAGGCCAAATTTGAAACTCTTAGATTAATAATAATAAATCAATAAAAGAATCAATCATCATTGATGGAAACACCATATACAAGTTTCATTTGTAATCCTAGATATAGGGTATACAAATCCCTCAAAACTACCATAGCAATCTAAAAAATTGAAGTCTGTTTAAGCCTAAAACGTGAATAGCATTGTACAAAACTGTAAATTCAGCTATCTAAATTTCTATTAATAAAATTGTTTGCCACATCAATCAAGATGGAAGGATATCTATGGACGTATATAGATGAAAAAATTTGAAGAGAAACTGCATATACCTCTTCAATTAATGACTTAATTTTAGAAGCTGTATCTTTCTTCAACTGCTTCTTCCTCTTCATTCTGAGTTCTTCTGAAGTCCACACAAAGATAAAAGTTGAGATCTTTTATACATGATATGGCCGTTGTTATAAGAGTAGAAACGAACTCAATTATCGTATACAATTGCCTAAACTTCTTGGTAATAAGGCATATGCTGATCTGCACATTTAATAATTCTTGGGAGGAAAAAAAAATGTATCCAAACTACTATTTCTTTTTTCCCCATCAAACTTCGGATTTGGCAGTAAAACATGACTGTACAAAAGAATAAACAAATGAACATTACTACTGACCTTTTGCTGCATTTACTTGACTAAGAATATAATCTCTCTCTTGTTCATCAAGCAATAACTGTTGAGCTTTTGCCAATGCTGCAAGAAATCAACAATCTTAGTTGGTATGCAATTAAACATCTCAACACTGAAAAACATATCTATCAACTGAATACAACCACAGGAACAATATCACACTTACAGACTATGTCATTTGACAATACAAAAGAAAATTTTGTTGTCAAGCTGCAAACAAAAGCTAATACGAACAAGAAGCACTAACAACACAAGGAGACAAGTTTAACAATTATACATGTTTTGATCACAATTCTCAGGCACCTAAATACTTGCACACATATACCAACAACATTATAAGTGCAGAGCTAACAAGATCACCCCAATCTCTGCACAAAAGGAAAAAAAAAGGCATTTTTTTTCCACTACAAAAGCATAAGTTTAGAGCTATGCACCTCCAAATGCCTCCTTAGCCTGTGGATTCTTGCATTTGTCAGGGTGAACCAGCAATGATAGCTACAAATCAAATATTTCCATCAAATTGTCAATAAATGGAAGAGTTATAAACCAGAAACCGCGATTATAGTTCGAACTGTGAGAGGTAAATTTATACCTTTCGATACTGCCTTTTCACTTCTTCTGGCGATGCATCAAATGATAGGTTTAAATACTCAAAAGGGTTCAACTTGAAGCATGATAGAATCCTGCAATTTTTTTTTTTTTTTTGGGGGGGGGGGGGGAGTCAAAATCTCATCAAACAGAAATGATATCAACAACAGACATATTAATTAAATAAAATTACACGAAGCATAATTGTGGGTCTTCAAGGGAACAATTCAATTAAAAAAAAAAAAAAAAAAAAAACCATCTCCATCGATCAGATTAAGGGCAAAATGGCACTATTAACAATCATGCTGCTAACAGGCAAACTCGAATCTTTGTAAATAATCTTCGAATAAAACAAATGGAATTCCATAGCAAATGCAACATCCAAAAAAGACATCCAACCGAAATACCTAAATATGACGGGAAAAAAATCCCAGCTCGAAACCCTAGTTGCCCATCAATTACAACCAGAAGTTGAGTCCAAATAGCAGAATCAATCATATATATACATATAAACACGCATATATATATATATATAGAGAGAGAGAGAGAGAGACCTGATGACTTCGTTGTCTCTCTCGACTTCGCTGACTTCGGCGAAGAAGCTCTTGAGAAGCAAATCCCCATCGGTGGGTGTGTCGCCCATTGGTATTATTGTCTTCTGTGTTTGTTCTTTGTTTGCTTGATTTCAACAAAGCAAAGCCAAGCCAAGCCAAGCCAAGGCTGAGAGAGAGCGAGTCACCCAAACCAGATGACCCGCCGGAGTTGTCCGGTGAAAACGGGTTCTCCTGCGAATCTGCTGGTTTGCTTTGCGAGCTCAGAAACGTTAAAATGGTTGGGCTCGGATTTCTCAAAGGTGAAAGGCGGTTTGAGCAGGCCCATTTAATTCGTGTGCCATTTGCCTAATGAGAAAAGGGAAATCCCGGTGAACAAGGTATTTTTAAAACTAAATTAAGTAAATAGTATATTTTAAAATTATTTAAAATAAATAAAAATTTATGCGTATATTTATTTATTATTAGTAAAAAATAATTTACATGGTAAAAAAATTAAAAAATTTTTTATTTATGTGAAAAAAATATTTTTACCGATCGTGTAAAAGAAAAATTTACGTGAAAAGAATACTTTTATTAGTCGTAAATTATCTATTTATGCGGTAACTGATTCATTTATCACGTAAATTGTTATTTATTTTAAATAGTTTTAAAACTTATTATTTACTTAATTTAGTTTCATAAATCTATTATTTACTACATTCTCTTTTGAGAAAATTTTTTTAACTTGGCATCTGAATGTTAATCAATACTGACTAATATAACTAAATTAAGATTTTAAAATAATTTGAAATAAATAACGATTCAACGTGTAAATGTTTCTTTTACGGCTTATAAAATTTTTATATAGTAAAAAACCTTTATTTACGTGAAAAAATCTTTTTACCGATGGTAAAAAGAGAATTTATGTGAAAAATAATTTTTTTTATTAGTCATAAATTAAACATTTACACAATAAACTGTTATTTACTTCATTTAATTTTAAAGTCTACTATTTACTTAATTTAGTTACACAAATCTACTATTTACTACCTTTCCTCATCTTTTAAGTCAAATTACATAATCAAAATCACATAATACTCTATCGTCCATCTTGATATAAGTTTAAGTTATGTGCCTCGTCTTCAATGTTCAATCAAGTATTTTAATTCTTGAATTTTTCATGTTTTAAACTCGAGAACCATCCTCGAATCTTTAGTACTTGGTAAATTAATATAATAAATTTAAAATAAAATAAAAAACCATTGGCCTCACTATATCAAGTGTTTATTATCATCAAAACACAATTAGATTAATCCGATGAAACCTTAGAGCTAAAGTTGATTCTTCTATGTATCCCAAAATAGAAAAAAGTAGAAAGAATTTTTGGTGTATACGGAGAAAACGATGCGTGATGCCGAATTTCCATTTCGGGTACTCTACTACCTATTGAATTGGCCCAGAACAAACTATAGGCCTATTGGTTTGTTCATTTTGGGCTCCGGAACTAGCCATGTTCAGAGAATAACTTTTGCCTGTACGGAAGCTTCTAATATTATTCTGGGGTCTGACTTTTTTTTTTTTTAAATTTAATAGGAATCTTTGTAAAAATAGATTATTAAAATTTTTTTATTTTTTTATCATTAGATTATATATATTCAGTATACTTTATAAATCTGATGTGATTTTAATGAGATTCAACGTTTAAAAATTGAGATTAACGGTAGGACGAATTACAAAAAAAACTCTATTTTTTTAATATACTCAAAAGAGTCTAGTTTTCTTGCTGAGGAAAGCGTCAACTAATTATGTTTTTTTTTTTTTTAGCTAATAAAAGATCAACCAATTAGTAACGAGTACTAACTAGCAGTTCAATCGGAATTTCATTTTATCTGAGCAAGTAGGTGATATTGGTCACAAAAACCATAATAAGTTGGATAAATGTAGCATTACGTTACATTTTATAAAGCTTCATATAAGACATGCATGTTGTTGACTTGTTCTTTATTATATTTTGTGAAAATCAAAGGTTTTTTTTTTTTTTTTTTTTTTTTTTTTTTTTTTTTTTTGAAAAAAAAAGGTTTTTTTTTTTTTTTTTTTTTTTAAAAACAAAAGTTTTTTTTTTTTTTTTTTTTTTTAAAAACAAAAGTTTTTTTTTTTTTTTTTTTTTTTAAAAACAAAAGTTTTTTTTTTTTTTTTTTTTTTTAAAAACAAAAGTTTTTTTTTTTTTTTTTTTTTTGAAAAAAAAAGTTTTTTTTTTTTTTTTTTTTTTTTTTTTTTTTTCTGTGGAGGTATTAATAGGGCTCCGGCATGCAAATCTAAAATCATAATAGAAATAGTACATTGGAACTTATTATAAGTAGCTAGATAACCAAAATCTTCATATGTAGGTGTGATTTTAATAATTACTCTAATTTTTTTTTTCTATCAATGAGTATCGTTGTTTTACTCGGTAGATATTGATTAAACGACTCTAATTAATCAAATAATTAACTAAAAAAATATATGATAATTAATGTAATTAGATTCTTATTACATCATATTATTAAATTTTTATATTTAATAAATAATCACTAATAAAAACATAATAAATGAAAACTCATCTATATGGACCCTGAGGAAAGAAATGTGAAAGAGAGGAGTGTGGAAGCTAAGGGTGCAAAAGAAAAGAGCATAAAGGCATGTGAAAAATGCGACATCACATTGGAATCTCTTCCAAAGCAAAATCAGCTTTCTTTTTCGCCATTTAATTAAAATCACAAAATAGCCCACTAACAGACGAAATTCTCATGTTAAATAATAATAATAATAATAATAATAATAATAATAATAATAATATATCTAGTGGTAATTACACCTACTTCTGACGTTTAGAGCCCAACGTTCCACACGATTAAATTCAAAAAATTGTTTTTTTTGTGAAATTTTTTACGTGACTTTTGATAATGGATGATTTTCTGCCATTTTTCCTCTTCCTTTTCTTATAATAATTTTAACAGCTTTAGATTAAAAACTTTAGATTTTAGTTGGAGCCTAAAATAATTCATAGCCAATGTAAGTTTACTCATGACAACCATTTGTGCATGCAATTTGAAAGCGAGACAAGACCATTTATAGAGATTGTAAATTTATCATTATCTTTATTTTTTTTTTTTCCATTTTAGAATTTAAAATTTGGCAGCTTGTTAACATTAAAAATTGACACAAGATGTAGACAGGAGAGTGTAATTTTTCACGATGACGTATTTATTAATTAATCTATATAAGACTATATAACCGTGGGGTCTACCATTCGCTTATAATTTTGTTGCAACTTTAAGTAAAGGAATGATGCAGATCAAACAGCTTCTGTTACGTGGACATCTTATATTGTTTTAGTAAGAAATATCAAATATATCCATATCATAATCGTACCCTTAACCCACGTAAAGGAGGAACATCACATATCAAGAGTGGATTATGTTGTCCCCAAAATGAAGGATCTGTCACTGAAGACATAACCCATATTGATGAAATCTCATTGGCTATACGTACCAAATTACAAAAAGCAATCAAAAGTTGCCAAAAAAAAAAAAACAAAAAAAAAAACTGATATACACACACACACACACGTATATATATATATATATATATATATATATGGCACATGTATTACACAGACAGACAAGACAGTCCCACTTGGTCAAAGACAACACTATAATCTTTGTTTTAAATACGAATGATATATTAATGAAATTATTGTACATGACTCTCGATCACTTTTGTTAAGTTGTAACGATCTCTCTTTTTGCTTTGATCTTCTAAATCAAAGTGAACCCTCTCTACCCCTTTTTCCTCGGGGGTTTTTTTTTTTTTTTCATTTCATTTATTTGACTAAACAAAAAACCTAAAAAAAAGTGGAACTAAAACCTAGGTACAAGAGTTCGTCAAAAAAAAAAAAAAAAACCAAGATACAAGAGACAGAGAGGGGATTAACATATATTATTTATGTCGTTGTCACGAGGATGATCATAAAATCAGGAAGTGGCAATGCAATAGGGCTCCCAGAAAAGCGTCCTTCTCGGTTCCTTGCAGCCCTTTAACAATGGCGCCAAGTATTCCCCTTTGTTCCCTCTCAAAACGACCAATTGTTGCTGCTGATTGTTTTCAAGGCGATTGTCGTTTGTCGTTTGGACCTGGGATACAATGAGTTTCTTGTCGTTTATAATTGAGACCGTCGGCTTGGCCCGTCGCCAGAAGTACTCGTAGGCGTTGAAAGAGGCGGCAGTACCGGCAGCGGTGGTGGTGGTGGAAACCTGGCCAATGGCCTGCGGCAGCCGACCGACGGGTCGCGGTCGGGGCGGGAGCGACTGTGCCATAACCGGGGTTGCTTCCTCCTCTTTTTCATTGAGCTTGTTATTAGGCCATGCTGTGGCTGAAATATTCCTGTTTGGCAACCCAATGGACTTGTTCACCATTAGGGCTAGCCTGTGGAAATTTATCAACCTTGTGGACAGTACTTTCGGCACTTCAGCTTCTTTCTCCGTTTCAATTTCAATTCTCTTCACTCCATTTTCAAACTCCTCATCATCGTCATCATCATCATCATCATCATCATCATCATCATCATCATCATCATCATTATCATCGTTATCATCGTTATTTTCTTCTTCTTCTTGATCAATTTGGCCTTCATTCTCGTCCTCAAAGTTAAAAAGCGGTTCCTCAAACTCTTCCGTTTCTTCCTTCTTCACCTCTTCAGCGGAGGGAGCTATGGCATAAACATCATCAGCAGTACTAGCGCTATTGACAAACGTCAGGACAAGGCGGCCATCTCGGCGCTGAGCGGCGAAGTTCTTCTGCGAGTGCACGGAGACCGCTTCCATTACGAGGCGTCCGTTGTCGCGGCGGGTTTGCATTCGGAGCGTGGGGGAGCCGTCGTTGCGGGAGAGCGACAGGAGCGGCGGAGGGAACGACCGAGCAGCAGATTTCCTGCCCCCGGAGTAGTACTTAAACTTTACCGGTCGGAACTCTTCTTGATTATCTCCGTCAATTAGTACTTGTTTCTCTTGTTGTTGCTCTTCTTCCTCGTCTTCTTTACTATCCGCTTCGACGTCGCTGCTGGACTCCGATGAGAAGCCGTCGGAGCCGGTCTCCGAGCCAAGAGATTCAGTGCAAACCTCGAGGCTCTTTTCGCTGAGAGAACTGGCTGATCTCTTCACAAGAGGGTGGATATAAGGAGGCGGGAGCGATTTGGAGGACTCAATATCTTTTTCCTTTTGAGATAGAATTGAGCTCCAAATATCGAACTCTCTGCCTACTTTCTCATTTTCTTTCTCGTTTCTCTTATTTTGTTCTTGTATCGAGTTCCAGATGTCCAACTCTCCGGGGCAATTCATGTCTTCTTCTTCTTCTCCTTCATCCTCGGAGGAGCTGAACGAGTTGAGAGCGGGAAGCGAGAGCTCTTCGGAGGAAGCAATCTTTTTCATGGGAGAGTAGAAGCCGTTCTGGGCCAGCCATTTCTTGGACGACATGTCGGCGGAGAGCGTCCGTCGAAGAGAGGCGCCGGCACAGGCTCTGCCTCTGTCGCTGTCGTCAGAGCCTAGAATGGCAACGACTATACCCTGCTTCTCTGCTGCTGCGGCCGCGGCTGCAGGTCTAATAATACTACTCATCTTCTCTTGCTCGACGATGTTCAAGAACGATGGGGACAATCGGAGGCTCTTGCTCAGAGAACCAGACATTTTTTGTTTTTCTCTTCTTTACAAATTAGCACAGAAGAAGAAATGGAGATCGAGTTTTAGCTGCGAAAGAGAGAAGAAACTAATCGGAAAATCGGAGAATTATCAGACACCCAATTAAGATTACGAGTAGAAGATTAAAAGCAATGGTTAGAAGTGTACTTTGGAGAAAGCAACAGCATCCAACAGAGGTCTGGCCGAGGACAGACCGCTGGGGGCTGCGAGTTGCAGAGAGGATATGTGCAATACACAATTTGAAGAAGAAGAAGAAGAAGAAGAAGAAGAATAATAATAAGAAGAAGAAGAAGAAGAAGAAGAAGCTAATGATAATATAAATATAATGAAAATGAAGAAGGAAATTATGAAGGTGATGTTTGAGGAAAAGGCTGTGGGTGTGGCTGATTGATGATGGCAAAGGAAGGAGAGGGGAATGTGGGTATTTGTAGGAACCAAAAAAGCTTTTTGGAACCGTGTTCATGGGACCCGCCTTAATACGCCACCATGAAAAAGACCTCTTGCCCTTACCTTTTATTATTGTTATTATTTATTATTTTTTCAGATAAATAATTATAATTTTCTTTTATTCTCCTTCGTTCGAACTTCGAAGAGTGGTAGATAAAGGATATGTGGAGTTTTGGTTTTTGAAGTTGATGGCCTTATTTAATTAATTAATTTAGTTAAATTCTCATGACCTCCATCTCTTCCTCTAAACCTTACTTCTACTTTAATTTGCAAATTTTAGACGGAATCTTTTAAGCATGCGTATTGCATGTGTTACGCACGCAGACATGAACTCAAATGCTTTTGCCTTATATTCTATCTTTAAAGATTTCTATATATATATATATATATATATTTATATACACACACATATATATAAATGCTGGAGACACTAATTTAAATCTCAACTCTTGTGTATCAATTAATTAATATGATATATGAATTGTTATTTTTCTATTAGTGAATGTTTAACATATTGTCACGTCAATTAAATGAAAGATATTGCATCTACCAATAAAAAAATGACAATTCACATGTCACATCAATTGATACACAAAAGTTAAAATTTAAGTTGGTATCTCTAACATTATTTATATATATTTATATTGTGAGAATTTTCTGATGCAAACACGTTAGTATTCCATTTTGTTTTTTTGTCTGTGTTTTAATTAATTCTACGCCATCTAATTTGCAAGTGACATACGTGGCATTTATGTAGAACTTTTTCATCTCATATAAACGACATGCATATATATTTTATTACTTTATATTATAAAGTGGAGACCATTACATTGTGTGGCAAAAAAAAAAAAAAAAAAAAGATCAGTAGGCGATATGAAAAAAAAAAAAAAAACCGTAACAAGTTATCTTTATCGTTTAAATATTATATGACACAGCTAAAACATTTACATATATCACAGTTCCTATTAGTTAAGTTTCATATAATTTAAAGATCACTCGACTTTGATCATTATAAGTATTAGTATTAGTATACTCATTCCGAAAAAAAAAAAAAAAAAAAAACCTTTAACAAAAAATAGAGTGTAAAAATTACGGATCGAGTCAAGTTATATTTCTTCAAAATATTAAATATTTATTTATTAAAAACTCATCCATATATATACTTTTGTCTCTCTACACCTCTCTTTAAATACACATCCTATATGGTATAAAATAATTAAATCTACTTCTTACACACTCCTATTATTCTAAAATTACTCTGAATTATTTTCAAGAGATTATTAATTCTTAGCAATTTCACTTTTCTTTGCACATCCATCATTTTATTTTCATTCATAAAAATATCAATTGATCATTTTAAAGTAAAGGCTACTTTTTTTCCGGCGTTGCGGGGTAATCCTTGTTTAACATGTAGCCATCCAAATCATGCAATCTTTTGATTCGCAAAGAAGAACATTGTTCAATATTGTGATTATATGTTTACATCTCATGCAAAATAGTATGTTACCATAATGCTTGTGCTTCATGTAGCAGCTACCACCTCGAGCAATGTTTTCATCCGGACAAAAAAGAAAAAAAAGAAACATGTGCAATATTCATACATATTTAAAAATATTTCGCAACATTTGTATTGGTGTAGCGTTTTTCTTTTTATAAGATTTCTATAAAATTATCATTTAATTTTATGAAAATAGTCAGGAATATTATTTAAAATAATAAGGGTGTGTTCAGTGACAGAGCCAAGATTTATCGGTAGAGGGGGTCAAAATTTTTTTTTATCAAGATTATATTGTTTATGGATTTAATAAAATTGAATGTTTTTTTTTTTAAAAAAAAAATCGAATCATGTTGAGCGCATTAAAAAATCTTTGTCATGAACTCACTGTTTTCATTTTCATGTCGTCACAATTACAAAAATCTCATATTATATATATTGTCAATATTGAATAATGAAGTATCAAAGTTGCCACTACAAGAAAAAGGTGTTTTTACGACGATAAAAAGTCATCGCAAAAAACCGCATGTCGTCGCAAATAACTATTTTTACGACGACGTGTCGTCGCAACTAATTGGTTGCAAAAATATTTTTTGCGACAACATAGTGTCGTCGTAAATACTTTTGCGACGACATTGAACTTATTAACGATGACATGCTTAATTTATTTAACGGGGGTTAATTGCGACGACATGTCGTTGTAAATAATGTCGTCGTAAATGACATTTATTGTTGTAGTATACATATCAAATTAATTTTGTCATGGTAATCTTGATAAAGTCACTGAAATTAGCACTGAGATAAGGAAAAAGAAAACGTGAATTTTCCCCCACAAATTAGCTATAGTATAATGACTTAGACGTATTTCGTGTCCAATTTGTCAATTAAATATTATCTAAATCAATTTCTCCTAGATCATGAAAAGAGAAAATATTCCGAGTAAGATACATAACTGAAACGTGTAAAAATCGGTCATGAAATCTTGTTACTGACGGATCTTGGGGAAATTGATTAGGCTTCCTACAAAAAGAAGCTTCCTCTAGCTCTTTATATATATATGCATGAAAGATGGGTATAATCCGCATTAAGCTGTTTGTGGGTGTGTGTGAACCGATGCATGCATATACATATATATATATATATATATATATATATATATGTATGTATGTATTGTAATTATCTAGATCACGACAGAATAAACATGTAATTAAGACCTTTTCAGCACACACAAAAAAGGTAATTAAGACAACGTAGGGTGAGCCCCACCAAAGTCCACTAGATCGGAGGAAGACAGAGACGACTATATACCAATTTTATATATGCTACGTAAATAATTATACATACATACACACACACACACACACACACACACACACACACACACACACACATATATATATATATATATTACCAATTAGGTAAGGCAGAAAGCGACGATGAATGGATGAAAATGGCTTAAGGAGGAAGCAAAGAAATCACTTTCAGATTAGACCAACATGATTGGGTGGCCAGAAACCCATGAGCTCACAATAAAGACGAGAGAATCCATATTATTCACAAACAAATGTACAGGAAAAAATATTTACTGCATTCAATCTCAAAAGAATATATATAAGTGGAAACAATCGAGGCCGTCCGATCTGGATTTTGTAACCTTTTTCCTCTACACCGTGTTTCCCCGCTTCTCCCACCATATATAATTGTGTGTGCATTACGTGAGTGTAGAAAATTCCTGTGGCATACACTAATATAGAAAAAACCAACAATACATCCGCCACTAGATTATATACCTTCCAAAAGCTAGTGATGTTGATCAATTTAAACCTCATATATTTGGATATATATATATATATATAAATATATATATATATGTGTGTTTTTTTTTTCTTTTTATATATAGGGTTCTTCATCTTTCATAAACACTGATCATGTGCAATAACACGGGGAAGTAGGTGCAGATGTACCGCGGCATTTTTTTTAACATATATAACATTTATTCTGTATAATAATGACTTTAAAAAGGTGTATATTGGTCTATAATACATAAATTGTTTGGTGTCATTTGATTAAAAAGTCAATATTGTTTCACTTATTGAAGGTAATATATATTCTAAAAAAAATGAAAATATATAATAATGTTACACGCTTATTTCTATATGTTATTACACGTACCTTGGGGGATTATAGGACTTTGTCAAATGTACATGTATATAGAGTTTATATACGGCCCTTCCAGAGGACTTACTTCCACGTAATATATAGAAATAAGAACCAGAACGTGATATTTACTCAATATAACACTAGGGTTATAAGAGTGTTAACAATAGTTTTGATAACTAAATTTCATAGTGTTACACTTTTTTAATAACATTGTTATGTTGAGTAAATGTCATGTTATGTCTCTTATTTTTATTTTTTATTTTTTTTTGCTAATAAAAAAAGTGATCAGGTGGTCTACCTCATGTTCCCATCCACACACCGGGGGCATACCCAGAAAACATAGGACACTTAAGAGTGGCAAGGGCCTAAACTATTCTCCCGCCGATCATCCATCCAATTTTCATTCCCTCTACCTATGGCGGGTCCCACTAGGGTCCACTAAGTTTTTTCAAAGGGGTTGGACAACCTTCTGCAGGTATGGAGACTCGAATTCTGGACGGATGGACAGAAAAGACCTAATAAAAGCATCCTTACCACTAGACCACAACGTTCGATAGTGTTTCTTACTTCTATACATTACGTGAAAGTACAACCTCTCAAAAAGATTGTAATAAAATGTTATATGTATATATATACATTTGTGTATGTATATGTTGTTGGGGAGACTCCACATTTGAACTGACCCAACACACTTTAAGAGTCCAACTTGATCAAAAAGGTTAACCTATTGGGTCTATAGCCATTCCATGTAAATAAATCACTTCACATCCTCATCCAGTTTCCATGTGGGATAACACACACCTGTATTTTTCTCAACAATCTCCTCCTCATGTGTGTGTTCACCGAGCTCCCTCTCGGACTAAAATTTCTAGTAGCTAGTATATCCAAGCATCACAATCCAAACGGGAGCCAACTCAAGCATGAGAAAGAGAACAGAAACCATGCGAGTCCACCAAATGCTCCACCATCCTCATCTGCACCAGTACCAACTGTGGGAACACCAACTCTCCACGCTGCAACCGAGCATGATCGCT